GAACCACCATTTTACCCAGCTATCCCACTCCTCAGTCTATATCCAAAGGACTTAAAATCAGCATACTATAGTAACGCAGCAATATTAATGTTCATAGCAGCTCAGTTCACAATAGCTAAACTGTGGAAGCAACCTAGATGTCCTTCAGTAGATGAATGGATAAAGAAACTGTGGTATATATACACAATGGAATATTATTCAGCATTAAAAGAGAATAAGATTATGGCATTTGCAGATAAATGGATGGAGTTGGAGAATATCATGCTAAGCGAAGTAAGCCAATCCCMAAAAAATCAATGGCCGAATGTTCTCTCTGATATGTGGGTGCTGATCCAAAAACAGGGAGGAGGGAGGTATGGCAAAAATGGAGGAACTGTGATTGGGCAATAGGAGGGAGAGTATGGAGAGTATGGGGACAGGAAAGATGGTGGAATGAGATGGATGTCATTACCTTAGATACATGTATGACTGTACATGCTACATCGTGTACAACCAAAGAAATCTAAAGTTGTGCTTCAGTTGTGTACAATGAATCAAAATACATTCTGCTCTCATATATATCTAGTTAGAATAAATAAATAAATTTAAAAAATAAAATAGTCTTAGACTTTTCTCAAGGACTACCTTGCTTATAGTTTTGTAAGTGTATAGGCATGATTTTTAACATAATGTATATGTGACAGGTCTTTGTAAGATTTTTTTTTTGTGTGTGTGTGTATGTGTGTGTGTGTGTGTGAGAGAGAGAGAGAGAGAGAGAGCAGCTGCCTCTTACAGGCATTCATTTACCAAGCACAAGACAGATATTTTTCCCTCTCCCTCCACTGTTAATTTTAGGCTGATCTCTTTCTTTGTGTATAGTCATTTCCTGTGTATCAACATTTTTGTTTTATTCCAAACAACTTAGCTCTATTTAACCTTAATAGCCAGAGGAGAGGACAAAAAGAATGTTCCTCGGGCTGGGGCTGGGGCTGAGTGGCAGAGCGCCTGCCTTGCACGTGTGAGGCACTGGGTTCGATCCTCAGCACCACATAAAAATAAACAAATAAAATAAAGGCATGCTGTCTACCTATAACTACAAAAATTAAAAAAAAAAAAGAATGTTCCTGATACAAGTTGCAGGGAAGAATGTTCTATATATCTTCAGCTCTTGTTTCTTTTCCCTTGCATATGGCATACACACAGATCTCTGACTTTTACCTTTTTTTTTTCTTTTGACTTTTACCTTTTTAAAAAAATTTGTAGGGGCTGGGGATGTGGCTCAAGCGGTAGCATGCTCGCCTGGCATACACGGGGTGCTTGGTTCCATCCTCAACACCACATAAAAATAAAATAAAGATGTTGTGTCCGCCGAGAACTAAAAAATAAAATATTGAAAAATTCTTTCTCTCTCTCTCTCTCTAAAAAAAAATTGTTCTTTTTATTTATACATGATACTAGAATGTATTTTGACATTATATGTATATGGAGTACAACTTTGCTAACATCCATAGCCCAGTAGGAATGACGCCTGGCATTTTTGGTTGAAAGGTGACGCCAGCAAGCCATTGAGATGATAATGATTATGTTAAGATGTGCATTCAGTTGGATATTAGACCCCTGCTGCCTGCCTGGGCCTGCTACTTTGGAGCTCTCAGGGACTCCTGGAGAGTTACCATTGGTTGGGGAAGTAAGGTAGGAGGGATTTCCGGAGGAGGGATTGCCYGTTGSTGTGGTGTGATCCAGGAGAAGGCCACGTCCGGGGCGTTAGCGGGAGTTTGGGAAATAAAGTTTGTTCCTGCTTGAGTGGCTCATGATTTTGTGCCCAGCCAGACTGTGGCACAACTTCTCTTTCTTCTAGTTGTACATGATGTAGAATTACATTGCTTGTGTAATCACATATGCACATAGGATAGTAATATCTGATTAATTCTACTATCTTTCCTATTCCCATTTCTCCTCCCTTCCCTTCATTCCCCTTTGTCTAATCCAAAGTACTTCTATTCTCCCTTAATCCCCTTCTTATTGTCAATTAGCTTCCGCATATCGGAGAAAAAGTTCAGCCTTTGTTTTTTGGGGGATCGGCTTACTTCACTTAGCATGATATTCTCCAGTTCCATCCATTTACTGGCAAATGCCATAATTTCATTCTTATTTATGGAAGAGTAATACTCCATGTGTAGAGACAACATTATTTTCTTTATCCATTCATCTGTTGAAGGGCACCTAGGTTTTAGCTATTGTGAATTGAGCTTCTGTAAACATTGATGTGTCTGTGTTGCTATAGTATGCTGAATTTAAGCCCGTTGGTAGAAACTGAGGAGTGGGATAGCTGAATCAAATGGTGGTTCCATTCCAAGTAGTCTGAGGATTTATGTGTGTTAATTTTATATCCTGCTTCTTTCCTGATTCATTTATGTATTCTAGAAGTTTTCTGGTAGAATTTTCTGGGTCTTCTAAATATAGAATCATGTCATCAGCAAATGGTGACAGTTTGAGTTCTTTTTTTCCTATTCATATCCCTTTAATTTCTTTCTTCTGTCTGAATTTATCTTGAAGTTAGCTTTCCACTCTGCCAAAATTATTTTTGTCAAGGAGGCCAGTGATTTCAGTATTGCCAAATCCAGTGGAAATTTCTGTCTTCATCTTAACTTCACCTCTCCTTAGCATTTGACTGTGTGGATCACTCTCTCCTTGAAAAGACATTTCTTTTGTGGTGCTACATATGTTAGTCTTCCATTTTACTGACGATGTTCATAGTTTGTTTTTGTTTGGTTGGTTGGTTGGTTTCGGTGGGCTCCTCCTCTATCCAAATATCAAAGTTTTGAACTGTGAGCTTTTTTGTTTTTTTCTGCCTAAGTGACTCACCCATAATTTAACACAGAATCCATATGATGTCTGAGATGTATGTTTCTAGTCCATATTTCTCTTTTGAGTCATCAAACTCCAAACACATGTATCTACTTGTCTCCTTGGCCCACCCCATCTTTTTCCAGAGATTGAACCCAGGGACACTTTACCACTAAGGGACATCTCATCCTTTTTAATTTTGTTTAGTTTTAACACAGGGCCTCACCAAGTTGCTAAGGGCCTTGCTAAATTGCTAAGGCTGACCTCAAACTTAAATCTTCCTGCCTCAGCCTCCCAAGTTGCTGGAATTACATGTGTGCACCCCGGCTTGACTTCTCTTTTGTAATATTTCAAACTTAACATATGCAAGGTGTAATTTGGTTCCTTTTCTTGTTGTACCTCCAATTGGTTTTCTACAACAGTCTTCATTTTTTTTTCTGTTGTTTAAGTGAGAAACCCTTGTTTATCTCTTTCACCACTGTTGTTGAACTTCTTTCCAAAATTGCCTTGAATTGGTCTGCTGTCTCCATTTTTATTGCCATGAAACTAGTCCATGCTATTGTCAGTTCTTGCTTGAATTGCTATACTTCTCTCCTAACTGGTCTTTAGGCTTCTCCTTTTCATTAAATTCATTTTTTGCATAGTGTCAAGGTGTAAATGTAAATAGAAACATGTTCTTAAAATATGATTGTGACTTCTCTTTGCATGTAGCAGTTCCTTATATTGATCTCATTTTCCTCTGTCTTCTTCACTTCTTGTGCCTGCTTACCTTTTGTCTGCTCACAACTCTTAAGCCTGGGGTCTTTTTTTTTTTTTTTTTAAATCTGATATTTATTTATTTATTTATTTATTTATTTATTTATTTTTATTGGTTGTTCAAAACCTTACAAAGCTCTTGACATATCATATTTCAAACATTAGTTTCAAGTGAGTTATGAACTCCCATTTTTACCCCAAATACAGATTGCAGAATCACATCTGTTACACATTCACATTTTTACATAATGCCATACTAGTGACTGTTGTATTCTGCTACCTTTCCTATCCTCTACTATCCCCCTCCCCCCATCTTCTCTTTCTATCCCATCTACTSTAATTCATTTCTCTCCTTATTTTTCTTCCAATTCCCCTCACAACCTCTTTTATGTAGTTTTTTATAAYAATGAGRGTCTCTYTCCATTTCCATGCAATTCMCCTTTTCTCTCYCTTTCCCTCCCATCTCRTGYCTCTGTTTAATGTCAATCTTTTCTTCCTGCTCTTCCTCCCTTCTCTATTCTTAGTTGCTCTCATTATATCAAAGAAGACATTTGGTATTTGTTTTTTAGGGATTAAGCCCGGGGTCTTTTTTAATGTTCTTTGAGCCTGCTTTTTCCCTCACCTGATTCTACCCAGAATACTCTTCCCCTCCTCTTTGTGGGGCTAGTTATCACTTAGGCCTTATCTTAAATACCATCTCCTTCTCAGGCCAGTAAGTACTGCTGCTGCTTTGAAATTTCAATTGTTTGTTTCTTTCATAATACATACCAGTTTGGATTTATTTTATGCCTTTTTCCCTTTTATTTGGTCTGTCTTCCCTGTTTGAGGGCAGAGACTTCATTTCTCTTGTTCGCTTTTGGATACCCAGCGCACAGTTAGCACTTAACAAATATTTGTTGAATGAATAAGTGAAAAGTGTGAATATTGCCATGTTCAGTTTTATGAATTTATATTTTTTTCCTTTTTAGTGTTTTAGCACATCTAGTTTTATAAATCCAGAGCATCTTATGTAAAGAAATTCAGGACTAATCTAAATAAGAATTTTTAGTAATAGAGATTAAAATAGCAGACAAACCTCTGTAATCCCAGCAACTCAGGAGGCTGAGGTGGAAGGATCACAGGTTCAAAGCCAGCTTCACCAACTTATTGAAAACCTCAGCAACTGAGTAAGACCCTGTTTCAAAATAAAATATAATAAGGTCTGGAATATAGATCAACAGTAAATGCCCAGTAAAAATAAAATAGCAGACTGAAGATAATAAATAGCAATAATGTCTCCAGTTCAGATTCTAATTTTTACCTAAGATTTTGATGAAGATCAAATCCTAGATATGAATTCATATAATTTGATGATTTTATATCAAATTTGCTAGGAATTTAGGAWGCAAGAAATCAAATTTTTTGCATGTTTGTTTCAGATATGATCATTCTGTTTCAAATGACAAAGCCCTAATGGTGCTAACTGAAGAACCACTACTTTATATTCCTCCTCCTCCTTGTCAACCCCTGATTAACACAACAGAATCTCTCAGGTAAGTATTATAAGTTGTTGTAAAATAAATAAGTGGGCTCCCATGATTAGCTTTGGAACCTAGGAAAGTCTTTGTTCAGATTTGCTGAGTGGTTGAATCTCTAAATTATTTGTTGGATAGCCACAGGCATATCAGYTGCTATGCAGTTGCCCTACTAGTCTGAGATAGATGATTATGGGTCTATTTAATATAATGGTTGCATATTGCAATATGTCTTATTTGAAAACTACAGAATGAAATTAATTAAAATTCCAGGGTAAGTGCTAAGCTTATGGGTAGTGACTTTCATAGCAGAAGGTACCTTTTTATTCAAATTAGAAAGACAATAATTTGAGGTTGTGTGGTTCTAGAGACAGTTTCCCATTATTGCACCTTTCTTGTATCGCCTTTTCTCTCAATTTTTTTTTTCCTGATTTTGGACATATCCTTGAGCCTTAAAAACTGCCTCCTTTTAAAATGTTAAATAGTACTCAGCTATAGTTAAATAAGGATAGTCTAACATATTTGCAACATCTGTAGAAAGTAAGCAAAATAAAGGGAAGTTTTATTGAATTGATCTTTTAAATTTCTACTATTGGAAAAATTTATTCCCCCCTCCCAGGTAGTTAGGTTTTCCTTCTCTCCAAAGGCATGATTTTCAAAGGCCTTAATATATTCTTTTGCAATAGGAGTCCTATGGATTGTTTTCTCCAGTGTCTTAGATATTTGTATATCACACAGCCCAAGAGAAAAAAAAAACACTTTGCATTCAATATTTATATTTGGCAAATACTTAGCTATGGTTTTCTTTAAATTTTGAATTTTTGATGGAGGAACCTACCATATAAAAATGCATATCTTATTAAATATTCAGTTAAGAATCTTAGTTATTCAAATCAAAGAGAAATACTGAGTAATTAGGCACTTGGAACACTCTTTGGAACCTACAGAATGATTAAATTCATTTCTCACCAGGAGATAAGAATTTTATTTCTGAGAAATATGTTTAATTGATTATCTGTTTTATAGATTAAATCATGAACTTCGAGGTTGGGTTCATAGACATGAAGTGGAAAGGACCAAGTCAAGAAGAATGACAAATAATCAACAGAAAACTCGTGTTCTTCAGGTTTGTTTCTACTTGTCTTGGAATAGTGATTGCTAATCATTGGAAGCTCTCTCCCTACCCTGCCACAGAGGTGGTATCTCTCCTGGAAGATATGGCAAGCTTAAGCTTTACCAACTTCTCATAGCTGCTCCTGGTGCAGCTTCATTGCCACCAATGTTCTTAGCCCAGGTTTTATGGCACTTGGTTTAAGTTTTATAATACTCATTTCCTGTGTTCAGGCATGATGCGCTTTCCTGCTCTCTTCTTCAAATTTGCTTCCGTCCAGGAGTTACTGTGCATGGATATCTTATCAAATATTTTTGGCACCACTGGTGTAATAAACAATACTTTTTGTTTCCTTACTTCTGAGAGCTCTTCAGAAATAGGGTATTAAAACATGGGACACATCAATGGAGGACATTTTTGAACATAGACAAGTGCCACTACTGGGTTTAATGACAGTGCTTACTCAGCTATTCAGTAAAGCTTCTATCTTAATCTTGTTTGCCACAAAGCACCATTTACAATCATTCATCATTCATCAGATATATGTTGCTACTTCTGAAGTGCTTAGACTAGCAACTGGCACAGTGTGAGTACCCAATAAACATTATCTGTGGTAGTGATAATGAGCCAGGAACTGTTCCAGACCCTGGAATACAGTAGCGAGTATAATAAAGTCTCTCCCCTTCTAGTGGGAGAACTAAACAATAAACAAATAAATGCACAGGTACCTCAAACTTAAGATAAATTCTCAAAAAAGTAAAGCGTGGTAGAAGGTTAGAATTTGAATTGAGAAATGAAAAGCTATTTTAGATTGAGTGGTCAGAAAAGGCTTCTCTGAAAAAGTTTCAATTTAATAAGGTATTGTCAAGATAATTAATGCTGGCTGTTAGAATGACCTTAAAATCTCCCTAGCTTAATAGAATAAAAACTTGATTTTTACAGTGTCTAACATAGTTCTCTCTCTTTTTTTTTTAAAGATAGAGTGAGAGAGAGAGGGGGGGGGGGAGAGAGAGAGAGAGAGAGAGAGAGAGAGAGAGAATTTTAATATTTATTTTTTAGTTTTTGGCGGACACAACATCTTTGTTTGCATGTGGTGCTGAGGATCGAACCCGGGCTGCACACATGCCAGGCGAGCACGTTACCCCTTGAGCCACACCCCCAGCCCCCTAACATAGTTCTCTAGAGTGGCTTTTCTCCAAATAGTGTCTTAGGGATCCATGTACCTTCTATTGTGTAGCTCCAACAACTTGATAACTTGAAATCTTTGTTTCTAGTTTTAAATGGTGGGAAGAGAGCTTGGAAGATAATACAAATGGTTTTAGGGATCAGGCCTGGACTTTAGCCACTGTTTAGTTGGCTAAAATTGTCATTTTGCCTAATTGACTATAAGAGAGACTGGGAATATGTAGCCTTCCTGAGTGCTCAGGAAGAAGAAAAAGTTGCAATGACAACATTGTTTTTACTATGTAGACAGAAAATGTTAGAGTAAACAATGTAAAGATTTAGGGGAAAATCTGGTGAAAGATCTTCTAGAGAGAGAAACAGCAAATGTAAAGATCTTTAAGAAGGAACAGTTTACTTCTGTAGGCAACATCAAGAAGTTGAGTAAGGTTGGAATGCATTGACTGAGGGAAGATGGTAGATGATATTAGAGAGACCTGCAGAGGTGAAATAATACGCAGTTTCATAGGCTGTGGTGAGAATGTTGGATTTCATCCTTGGCATGACGAAACACCATTGAAAGACTTGATTAGGGTAGTGACTTGACCTGATTTTTATGTGTGAATGTGTATATGGCAGGGTGAGGAGAGGGTTAGGGATTGAATCCAGGGCCTTTCATATATTAGGCAAGTGCTCTACCACTGAGCTACATCCACAGCTCCTGGTTTATGTGTATTTTTAAAGTCTTATTTGTCCTTTTTAGTTGTACAAGTATATTTTGACATATTTATACAAACATTGAGTTTGTCTTATTCTAATTAGGAGCCCAGTCTTCTGGTTGTACATGATGTGGGTATTCATTGTGGTGTGTTCATATATATACATAGGAAAGTTGTAACAGATTCATTCATTCCACTGTCTTTCTTTTTCCTATCTCTCTTCTTTTCATTCCCTTTTGTCTAATCCACTGAACTTCCATTCTCCCCTTACTCTCTCTTTATGTATGTTAGCATCCATATATCAGARAAAACATTCAACCTTTGGTTTTTTGAGATTGGTTTATTTCACTTAGCATGATAGTCTCCAGATTCATCAGTTTACTGACAAATGTCATAAAGTCATAATTTTTTATGGCTGAGTAATATTCCATCACACACACATATACACACATATATATATGTATGTATGCATCTATATGTATGTACGTATGTATATTACATACACACACACACACACACACACACACACACACACACACCACATTTTAAAAAAATCTATTCATCTGTTGAAGGCACCTTAGGTTGGTTCCATAACTTAGCCTATTGTGAATTGAGCTGCTATAAACATTGATGTGGCTGCATCACTGTAGTATGCTGATTTTAAGTCCTTTGGGTATAAATTGAGGAGTGGGATAGCTGAGTCAAATCATGATTCTGAGGAATTTCCATACTGCTTTCTATAGTGGTTGCACCAATTTACAGTCTCTGGTGGGGAATGCAATGTATGGTGTACCCTTTTCTTCACATCCTCGCCAACATTTATTGTTACTTGTATTCTTGAAAATTGCCATTCTGACTGGAATGAGATGAAAATAGTGTCGTTTGCATTTCTTTAATTGCTAGAGATATTGAACTTTTTTTTCACATTTATTGAGTGACTGATCATATTTCTTCTCTGTGAAGTGTCTGTTCAGTTTCTTTGCTCATTTATTGATTGGGTTACTTGGTTTTTGAGTTCTTTAAATATCCTCTAGTTGCAGGTTGCAAAGATTTCTCCCATTCTGTAGACTCTCTCTTCATGTTCTTGATTGTTTTCTTCGCTGTGAAGAAGTTTTTTAGTTTGATTCCATACCCTTTATTGATTTTTGATTTTACTTTTTGTGCTTTAGGAGTCTTATTGAGGAATTCAGTTCCTAAGCCAAATGATGGAGTTTTAGACTGACATTTTCTTCTAGTAGGCACAGGGTTTCAGGTATTTGATCCACTTTGAGTTGAGTTTTGTGCAGGGTGAAAGAGGTTAAATTTCATTCTGTAACACATGGATTCCATTTTTCCCAGCACCATTTGTTGAAGAGGCCATCTTTTCTCCAATGTATGTTTATGGTGCCTTTGTCTAATAAGAGATAATTGTATTTATGTGGGTTTTCTCTGTTTCTTCTATTCTCTTCCATTGGTCTTGTCTGTTTTGCTATTACTATAGCTCTATTATATAAATTAAGTTCTAGTATGGTGAGCCTCATCCTTCGCTTTTCTCACTAAAGATTGCTTTCACTATTCTGGGCCTATGATTTTTCTAAATGAATTTAATGACTGCTCTTTCTATTTTTATGAAGAATGTTATAGGGATTTTAATAGGAATTGCATTAAATCTGTATAGCACTTTTGATAGTATGATCATTTTGACAATATTAATTCTGCCTATCTGAGAACATGGGAAATCTTTCTATCTTCTAAGGTCTTTTTCAATTTCTTTCTTTAGTGTTCTGTAGTTTTCATTGTAGTGGTCTTTGACCTCTTTTGTAAGATTGAATCCCACGTTTTTTTTGGTTTTGTTTTGGCTTGGTTGTTTTTGAGGCTAATGTGAATGGGATAGTTTTCCWAAATTTTCTTTCCACTGATTCATCATTAGTGTATCTCGCCCACGTCCCGTGCCCCGTGGTGGAATTTAGGTCTCCTCTACATGAAGTGGGCTAGACGTGAAATTAAGCTAAGAAAAAAAGGCAGAAAAGAAATACACTAGAGAAAGTAATTGTGAAAAGGGAGGGTAGGACGGCTCTTCAACCTTAGAGGTCGAGCTTCCACACTGGAAAGAGAGCGAGAGCCTGCAGTTGCTTTGTTATATGGGGGAACCTTCAAAGGTTTTCCATAGAGTGTTTTTATGCCAAATAAAGCAGGAGGTGGGTTGTCCAGCTCCCAGTGGGTTATGCCCAACTCCAGAGCTATAAGATCTGTCTCCCTAGGGGAGCAAAGACAGAGGTCAGTGTTTTGCACAATCCATTAAGTGGGAGGAGCCACAAAAGAGCTTGCAATRCTAAATCAAAATCTCCTTGGCTCAAGGCCCAGTGAAGATGTTCAAATAGCTCAGGGGTGGCTCCCCTCAGATGTATAGGAACACAGTTGATTTCGGTTGTTCATTTTATATCCTGCTACTTTGCTGAATTCCTGTACGAGTTCTAGCAGTTTTCTGGTGGAATTTTTTGAGTCTTCTAAATATAGAACCATGTTCTCGGCTGACAGGAATGTTTGAGCTCTTCTTTTCCTATTCATATCCTTTTAATTTCTTTCTTTTGCCTAATTGCTTTGGCTAGAGTTTCAAGGATTATTTTGAATAGGAGTGGTGAAAGAGGGCATCCCTGTCTTATTCCAGTTTTAGAGGAAAAGCTTTCAGTTTTTCTCCATTTAGAATGATATTGCCCTTTAGTTTAATGTATATAGCTTTTACAATGTTAAGATATATTCTTCTTATCCCTAGTTTTTTTCTAGTGTTTTGAATATAAATGGATACTGTGTTTTGTCAAATGTTTTTTCTGCATCTATTGAGATAATCATGTGATTAGTGTCTTTAAATCTGTTTATGTGTTGAATTACATTTATTGATTTCCATATGTTGAACTAACCTTGTATCCCTGGGATGAAACTCACTCAATCATGGTGTGGTATCTTTTTAATATGTTTTGTATGAGATTTGCCAGTATTTTATAAGAATTTTTGYGTCTGTATTCATCAAGGATATTGGTCTGAAGTTTTCTTTTCTTGATGTGTCTTTGGTTTTGGTATTAGGATGATACTAGCCTCATAGAATGAGTTTGGAAGGGTTCCCTTCTTTTCTAGTTCATGGAATAATTTGAGGAGAATTGGTGTTATTTCTTTTTTGAAGGTCTGGTAGAACTCAGCTGAGAATTCATTCAGTCTTGGGCTTTTCTTTGTTGGTAGGCTTTTGATGGCATATTCAATTTCATTGCTTGGAATTCATCATTTCTGTGCCCTCTTGATTCAATTTGGGGAGGTCATATGTCTTTAGAAATTTGTCCTAACTTATATTTTTAAAAGATCATTCCAGCTGCTATACAAAGTAGACCATGGTGTGGGGGTATGAATGGAAATAGGGAGGCCAGTTAAGATGCTATTTCGGTAATCTAGATAAGAGATCTGTGGAGCCTGTACTTGTGGGGTAGATATGGAGCTAGAGGAAAGCACTTGGATGTCAAATATATTTTGAAAGTAGAGCTGTTAGAAATTGTTGCTGTAAAATAAAAAGGAATTAATGGAAATTCCTACGTGCTAAGTACTAGTTGAACAGAGATGCCATTATTGATAACAAGATTGGGGAAAGAGGAACTGGAGATAGGAGTGTAAGAAACTAAAAAGGAAAAAAGAGAGAGTGAGGCATTGAGCCCTGGGCCAACTCCAACATTAGAGGCTGAAAGAGAAAGAAGAACTAGCAATTGCGAAGTAAGATGAGTGACTGACCAATAAGATAGGAGAAAATGCAGGATTGTGGTACCCCAAACCCCAAGCAAAGAATGTCTTAAGAAGGAGGTATATGATTAATCATTACAGTGGTCAAGAAATGTTAAGATGATGACTAAGAAATTATCATTAAAATCAACCATTAGAACTTGATTGATGAAAGTTGTTTCATTATAGTTGTGATGATAAAGGCCTCACTTCGAAGCCTTTGTGGGAAATGATACGATATGAGAAAATGGAAAAGAGTATTTTAGGATCATCTCCATAAGTGTAAATAGAGAAATAGAGTAGCTACAGGAATCAAGAAAGAGGTTTTATTTTTAGATAGAAGATATGACACCAGGTTTGCATATTTATAGATAGGCTAATGGAAACATCTTAACTATTTGATTTTTTTGGAGACTTAACTGTAAGCAGCATGTGATTTGTTCAAAAGCATATTAAAATTATATTAAGAGACATAGATTTTGCCATTATAGAACTGTTTTCATCAATAATGTGAGCATTCATGTTGGTGAACTCAAACTCTGACTTTCTGAGATTCTGTGATTATCAAGTATGTGCTTAGATGATCTATTATCTAGTATGTGCTTAGATAATCTATTATGATTCTACTATGTGCTTCTCTGGCCCTCTCCAATACCTTTTCTTCTCCTACTATGGCAATTGTATCGGTTGTTAGTACTTTTAGGGGCTACCGGGTGGTCAGTATATGCCGTGGGTACCTCATAGCCCCCATCCTGCTTACTGGCATTAGACTGCAGAATTTGGTACTGCAAAACTCTTGTCTGCTAAGTCTTACACATCAGCTGCTATCATGGCTAGAGAAAAAATTAATTTTATTTTGCTTTCTAAGTCTTGTACAAGGCACATTTTATTGTCAGAACCTAAGTTATATCCAGAACCCTGCTGACAAAAGAGTTTAAATAATATGGTTTTTAGACTTCCATCTTTTGCAATACAGGGGAAGAGCACAGGAGGCAAAAATAGGTAGTTGCCAGTAGATAATACCACATAGCTGCTATARTGTTCTGTATGAAAAATTAGATTCAAATTCTTGGCCTTAATGAGGATTTTTTGTTTGTTTTGTTTTGTCTTATCTTTAGATACAATTTGTCATATTATCCTGTTCATTAGATTAAAAAATAACGTATTTACTGTGGAAGGGGTTTGTTCTTTAATCTTAAAGGAATTCCAACACAAGACAAATAATTTTATTTTAGTTTTATAGTCTTTGTTCATTTAGAGAAGATTTGTAACTTAAAGTCTTGTCTCTTTCTCTATTTGGGGTGCATATCTTACTGTAGGGGGCTTAGATCATGGTCAGAATTGTAGGAATCTTAGGTATTACCAAAAAAGGAATGGCAAGGATGAATCTATATTTATCCAAGCAAAAGAAGTTCTCCATTAGAGGAACAGAAAGATCATTCTGCTTGTACTGTTGTCGATTCTAAAGCATGTAAAAATTCCTTTGATTCTCTTCCATAGGGTAGAGAGCCTGAAATTGCTCCTTTTATCTTCTTTTTTTATTTCAACTTTCTTTTTCCTCCAGATTACCTCTTTCAAATGCCACAAGGAGTCAAAAGTCTTATAAAATATTTTGCAACTCTGGCAAATTGACATTTATTTGAAATTTCTGTTGCTTTTAAATATTATGTCTTTGATTTGACACATCCTCTCTCATAATCTTACCCTCTTCCTAGAATATGAGTTGTTAGAAAAGGTGCAGGGACAAATTAATGAAAATATCTTTCAAAATGAAGGCAAAATAAAGATATTTTCAGATAGACAAAAAGCTGAGAAAATTGGTATCCAGAAAACCCAAACTGTCAGACATTCCCAAAGTTTTTTAGACTAAGAAAAATGATAACACATAGAGGAAGGAAGGATACAAGAATAAGTAATATCTTATTACTAATAAAAAGCAGGCTTAAAAAAATCTGTGTGCTTTGTATGTTTAAATGTTTTTAAAAGAGTATTGTCCTTTTAAAGCAAAAGGAAAAATGGTTGTGAGGTTAATATTTAATAAAAGAATACAAAGATGAATGGGTAAATAGAATTATACTGCTAAGCAGGGGTCTGCAGTGGAGCAAACTATATTATAAGCATTTATGAATATGTCCAAATTAACCCCACTAGTATGTATAACTATAACACACTAATAAAGGATTTTTTCAAAAAGAATTATACTGCTAGAATTTTATATTGTTCAAATACTATTTCAAGGTACATTGTGATTAACTTAAAGTGGATAGTACTATGTATGTACTATTTTTCCCCTATACATACTTAGCTCTAATAAAGGTTAATTTATAAATTAGGCACAATAAGAGACAAACTACAATAACTAACATTAAAATAGAACAATTGTAAAAATATACCGTAACAAAATTGCCAGCATCACTACTCTTGTGCTTTTAGGCCATTATTAGGTAAAATAAAGGTTACCTGAACACAAGACATATAATACCATGACAAGTTGATCTGACAACTGAGATGACTACTAAGTGAAACAGATAAATAGTGAATACAGCATGTCCAGGGTAGGATGGAGCTGGAAGGCTTGAGATTTTATAACACTGCTGAGAATAGCACAGAATTTAAAATATATGGATTATTTTTTTCTGGAATATTCCCTTGAACATTTTTTACCACAGTTAACCATGGATAACTGGAACAATAGTTAGCAAAATCATGGATAATGGAGTCCTAAGACAGCTAAAAAGCCAATACAAGAAATATAAATGGAATTGAACTAGTTTAATGAAAAGAGGATAGGAAAAGAAAAACAAAGAACAAAAAAATGAGAAATAGAAAGCACAAAAATAAACAAATGCCAGGAGATGTATAATTAAACAATTATTTAAGCCACTGATTGGGTAGTGTAATAATAGTAATATGTCTTTGAATTCTGATACCTTTACCAAATTCTTCTGAAGATCAGCTTACAAAACTGCCAGGAAGTAAAACAAGGTCACAGACGCATGTTAAAGAAAGGTTTCTAGTGTAGCATGTGTGGACTACTGATGGTTCCAGATTAAACTGGTTTCTTGCCAAGTGAGTCATCAGTGAGATCTCTTTAATTACAAATAGTCCATAAATGTATTGGTGTGAATATATTTGTGTTTAAGTAAACAATGGGGATCTAGTTTCATTTTGGATTTTTCATACTGCTTAGGAACTTTTCATTGATAAACATAATTATTTTAGATAAATTTAAGTTGTGATGTGTCCAGTAATACTTGTATAGCTTGTTCATAAAACCTGTGCTTGGTCTAAACTTCTGTTCTTTTTCTTTAAACTCTATATGGGTAAGTGCTTTGAGTGTCTTAATCTCCAAGAGCCACATCTCTGTGAAACTGTGAGCTAAAGGGTTTGGATTTTTATGCTGATGTTTAATTACATGAGCTTAATTTGTCACAACATCCATAGAAAAACCAATATGAATTCTTTAATACATATAAATGTAGAATAAGACAGCATAGGAATAGCATCATATAATTTCACTATATGGCATTAGACCTTTTTTTTTTCTTTTTCTCTTTCAGGGTGCTCTAGAACAGGGCTCAAATTCTCAGTTGATGGCTGTCCAATACACAGAAACCACTAGTATCAGGTAAGAAAGTATCAAGAAGCTTTTGGCCAGGGAATTTAAAATAGCTTGTGTTTTAGTAAAGTTGAAATTCATAGTTCTTTTTTACCTTAATTTGTCTTAATCTGTGCCTTTCGTATTAATTCATATAAAATATACTACTTCTAAAAAATACTACTTCTGAGTAAAGTCAGATAATTTCTAAGGATAATCTCTCCTCAGTCTCTTAAATGCAGATTTAGTCAGAATGCTGTTCAGTTGTAATTTTATTGAAAATCTTAAAAACACATAGCTCCCCTCTCCTTGATTTGCCTCTATTTCATAAGCCTAAGCGAGGGGAATATTGTTTTTCACTGTTCTATGCAGAGGTCTTGCTGGATGCTTTATTCATTTTTATCTTTAAATCCATATAATAATTTGAAGTATATTTTATATATGAAAAACTGGGCAAGTCATTAATTTTTTTTTGTAATTTTTCATTGTCATAGAACCAAGTGCCAGAACCAGAATTCAGACCCTAGCATTTGACATAAAATTCCCTTTTCACTACACAATAGTACTTAAGATTTTGAAACAATTCAAAGAAAGTACTATACCTAGGAGTATCTTCACTAATCCATCCCATGTATTGATTCTTGATTTTATTTCTTGTACTAGGAGTCTTACTAAGGAAGTTGGAGCCTAATCTGACATGATGAATTTTGGGCCTATTTTTTCTTTTATTAGGCACAAGGTCTGTGGTCTAATTCCTAGGTCCTTGGACCTCTACAAACTACAGAATGCTAAAGAAAGAAATTAATGAAGTCCTTAGAAGATTGAAAGATCTCCCTTGTTCTTGGACAGACAGAATTAATATTGTCAAAATGATCATACTACCAAAAGCACTATACAGATTTAATGCAATCCCAATCAAAATCCCAATGACACTTCTCATAGAAATAGTAAAAGCAACTATACTACAGAGCAATAATAACAAAAATGGCATTGTATTGGCACCAAAATAGATTTGTAGACCATTGGTACAGAATACAGGACACAGAATCAAACCCACATAAAAACAGTTATCTCATACTGGACAAAGGCACCAAAAGCAAATACTGGAGAAAAGATGGCCTCTTCAACAAATTGTGCTGGGAAAACTGGAAATCCATATGCAATAAAATGAATTAAGCATTTTCTTTCACCATGGCATAGTATTTTTTCATTAGTTAAAAATGTTTTTAATGAGTTACAGTCCATTCTCATTCATGGATCATCTTACTTATGGATTTTATATTTGCTTAATTGCTAAAATTTATTTGTAGCTGGGCACGATGGCACACACCTGTAATCCCAGCAAGTCAGGAGGCTGAGGCAAGAGATCAAGATTTCAAAGCTGGCCTTAACAATTTAGCAAGGCCCTACGCTACTCAGTGAAGCCCTAAGCAACCAGCAAGACCTTGTCTCTAAATCAAATTTAAAAATGTGGCTTACTGGTTAAGCACYCCTGGGTTCAATCCTTGATACCAAAATATAAATAAATGAAAATAAAAGTTATTTGTAACCCCCAAATAATACAGCATTTTGAAACATGCATAGATATTCTAAGGTAAGGTTAAACCAGACAACCTTTTACCTTCTTGTTTCACTATTTAGTATATACAAGGTCCTTTTTGTAGTTCATTTAGTGTCATGTTTTTCATATTTTTATACCTTTTATTGGCAACTGTCCTGTTTAAAAGGGCCCCAAACATATTGCTGAGGTGCTGTCTAGTGTACCTAAGCCTACGAAGGGTCCAAGGTATTATAAAGTTTTATTCAGGCATGAGCTACCATGCTTTTGGCTGTAAGTTCAATGTTTATTAAAGAAAGTGTCCTTAAACAAAAACATGCATAAAATGAGGTTACATATTTTTTTTAAGATTTTTTTTAATATTTATTTATTTTTTGGCGGACACAACATCTTTGTTTGTATGTGGTGCTGAGGATCGAACCCGGGCCGCACGCATGCCAGGCGAGCGCGCTACCGCTTGAGCCACATCCCCAGCAGAGGTTACATATTGAATGACAAAAATATAATCATCTTTCAGAGGCTTACATTAACCCAATCCTGTATTTATTTGTCTTAGGATTCACTAATTCATTGTTAGTGGTGACTCTTTAGAATATATCTACCAGAAATAACAAGAATTGTCTGTATATCCAAAATACTGTAATCAAGCACTGTCTAATGAGCAAATGCAGTTATTTCAAAGGAAGATCTTTTTTAAAAATTTTTTGAAGTTATCGATAGAACTTTATTTATTTATATGTGGTGCTGAGAATTGAACCCAGTGCCTCACACATGCTAGGCAAGCGCTCTACCACTGAGCTATCACCCCAGCCCCTCAAAGGAAGAACTTATAGCTCATTTATAGTTTCCATTTAGGTCAATCTTTTTCTCTCTTAAGTTAATAATATTTGATTGATAATAAAAGTTTTTCTCTTTGGAGAAGAATGAAGCATTATAGGGTCCCATTCATTCTTCTGAGTGTTGGTTTATTGTGTTCAACACTAAAGACTGAAAATATTATTAAGAACTACTTAGTATCATTTGAGTATATCTTTTCACATATGATATAGTTTGAGGTATTATTAAAGTTTGGCATTAATTTATCAAGGTGCCTATATGGTGCTTTTCATGTCAGTAAGCTAGCACTTGTGGAATGACTCCTATAGAACAGGACTCATGCTTGGTCATTTACATAGATGACATCTCTGACCCCATTAAAAATCCTCCAAGGCTTCTGTGGTTATATTCATTTTATTCATGAGGAAACTGGGGTTACTCAGAGAGATCCATACCCTGAAGAATGTCCACGCAGGTAGACCAAGAATTCAAAACCAGGTGTATTTGTTTCTAAACCTAGATTCTTTTCATTTTTGTTGTAGCCTCATTGGCAAGATCACCTTTGTATATTTGACAGAATGGTGAAAAATAACATTTCTTCAGACTTAATTTTCATTATAAAACTTTTTAAATCATACAAACTTATGCAGAAATCTTTGGTTTTGATAATTTAAAAAAAATTTACATGTTTTACAGTATATTTGACCATATGTTATATTTTAGAACCTTGATTCAGAAATGAGAATTTTAGAACTGGACCTTATAAATATCCTAATTTTGGGTTTTTCAAAATGTTACTTTAATGGATGTAGCTCAAGTGGTAGCGCACTCGCCTGGCATGCGTGCGGCCGGGTTCGATCCTCAGCACTACATACAAACAAAGATGTTGTGACCGCCGAAAACTAAAAAAAAAAAAAAAAAAAAAAAAATATATATATATATATTAAAAAATCTCTCTTTCTCTCTCTCTCTCTTTAAAAAAAAAAGTTACTACCAAACATCTGCACTTGCATGTTTATTGCAGCCCTTTTCACAATAGTGAAAAAATGGAAACAAGCTAATTGTATGTAATGAATAAATGAAGAAAATATGGTCTGTATACATAATGGGATATTATTCATCTATAAAAAGGAAATCCTGTTATTTGTGACAACATGACTGGAACTGGGGAACATTCAGGCACAGAAAGAACAAATACTGCATTGATCTTGTTTATATATGGAATCTGAAAACTGATCCCATGGAAGTTGGGAATAGAATGGTGATTACCAGATGCTGGGGAGAACAGGAGGGAAGGATAGATGGGGAAAGGTTGATCAATGGGTACTAAGTCACAGTTAGATAAGAGAAATAAGTTTTGGTGTTCTGGTGTATAGAAGAGTGACTATAGCTAATAATTATGTACCGTGTATTTCAAAAAGGTTAGAAGAGTATTTTAAAAAAATTATTTATTCTAATTTGCTATACATGATGGCAGAATGCAGTTCATTTCATATTACACATATAGAGCACAATTTTTCAAGTCACTGATTATACACAAAGTATTTTCACACCATTCGTGTCTTCATCCATGAACTTAGGGTAAAGATGTCTAACTCATTCCACCATCATTCCTATTCCATCACACCCCTCTTTTCCCTTCCTCCCCTTTGCCCTAACTATAAAATGCCGCAGTCCGGCTGCAGCAGAATAACTGGGGGGTGACGAATAACTTGTGTACGTTGATATAGCAGGAGAGGGAGCCGTTTATTATAGGACAACAGAGCTATTTATACATTTTGCACAGCTTATCTTAATTAGCATAAACTAGATACATCAGTCAACCAATAAGGAATCTCCACACTTAATAGCTCGCTTTTGTTACTTCTCAAACCACTCCCTCTGACATTTTGCCAGGCACCATCCAGACTTGTTTACGAACTCTAACATTTCTCTGGCAAAATACCAGGTGTTATTTTTGACTTATTTACAGACCTTAACAATTTAACAATAAAATTCCTCCATTCCTCCCATGCTTCCCACCCCATGGTCATTATGAGTCAGCACCCTCATATCATATTCAGCCTTTGGTTTTTGGGGATTGGCTTATTTCACTTAGCATTATATTCTCCAACTCCATCCATTTATCTTGCCATGATTTTAGAATAGAGTATTTTGAATGCCTTTACCATAATGAAATGATAAATGTTTGAGGTGATAAGTATGCTTACTCTGGTTTGAACATTATAACAATGTACACATGTATCAAAACATCACATGGTGCCCCAGAAATATGTGTAATTTTTATGTATCAATTTAAAATAATTTTTAAGAAGTAAAAAAATGATTTCTATAATGCTACTGATTTTTTGTTGAAAAGACTCTTATAATTCAGACATAGACTTAAGAGTAGAAAGTATTTTTGGGAGGATTAGACATTTTTTACTTGTTAACACTCTACCTTTTTCTTACTTTAGTAGGAACTCAGGGAATGAGCTACAAGTGTATTATGCTTCACCCAGAAGTTATCAAGACTTCTTTGAAGCCATCCGCAGAAGGGGAGATACATTTTATGTTGTGTCCTTTCGAAGGGTAAGTTCATTTTGAAAAAATATGCAAATATTTGTAGGTACTTACTGTGTATAAGACATTGGGCTGAATATTGTTGGAGATAGAAAGATGTGAGAGATAGGAAGCAATATAGAATAAATATGTGAGTGGAATACTCTCAGTGCTATATATATGCTTGACTTTGAACTGTTTAGCATCATGAAGGCACACATGGAATTAGACTATGACTGTATATTTAGAAAATATAAGCTGTGTATTGATTTTTATTCTCAATTATCCCTATAACCATACTATTTGTTTATAATCAAAGGTAAAGTAAAAGCATAAACATTTCATATTTAGGCTTTTAAAGCCAATTTCCATTTGGTTATTGAGGAATTTAAGATGAATGTAGGTTTTAGATGAATTAAAGATGAATCACGGACTCATTAACATATTGTGGAATGTTTAGATCTGTGTTCTAGGGAATCTCTATTCCTCTTTCTTCAGTATTTACTTTATTAGTGAAGAATACATTAGATAATCATTTAGGTTATGCAAATGTAAATGTTTATACTAACATGGCTGAATTTTACAGATGTTAGACTAAATGGAAACAAATGTATAGCTATTTACATTCCATTTACCTTTCCTACAAAATGACAATATATTCTTCATAGAGGTGCCATGTGAATATCTCTAGAGTACTATATGTTAAACCAGAAACATACAAGTGACTTGGAATTCCTCAATGGTTTATAACCTAAGCCTTCCTTCCTTTTTTTTTTTTTGTCTTTTTTTTTTTAAAAAAAAGAATATGGGGGGATGTATATGGCTAGAAGTAAGTTTATACTAACAATAGAAATAAATAATTCATTCTCTGATTATTGTTGCTACTCACTATTACTAAAATTCTCAGTTACTAGTAATTTTTTTCCTAAACTATAAATATCTAGCAGCTCAGTATTTTAGGGCAAAAAATTTTGGCATTTGTAGATTAGGTAGATAAAATGTTTTATATATTTTTAGTTATTATTCAGATATCCTAAGATATCTGGAATTCTTTAGACATGGCATCTTATGATCTTTGCCTTTTGATTGGATTCCTTATGCTCACCTTATTTGCTCAGACAGTTTGTGTATTTCTAAAGTTCCTTTTTAGCAGCAAGAGGGCAGCTAAGAACAGGGTTTCAGCAAGACTTCAACTGTATTGACTGATAAGTATTTACTATTGATATAATTGTTTAAAATGGGGAGGGAATATACTTTTAAAAAAGGTGTCTACCACTATGTGGAGACTGATGGATGTTAAAACAAATGCATTAAAATGTATGTTATGGAGGTTACTACGGAACAATATTTTTAACACTCAAGTAGTCAAATAGTTTCCTTTTATTGTTTAATAGTTCAGGACACTTTATTAGTTGATGAAAGCAGTATAATGTATATAAGAAATAACAGTTGTGAAACCATGGATTGAAGTCATGGTTAGTATTTTCTGGGGAAGAAAAAAAGTTATTTTAATAGATATAAAAATATTTTTATATTTAATAGAAATAAAAATAGGTATAAAAATAGATATAAAATATTTCTTAATAGAAAAAATATTTTTATAAAAGAAGATGTGCAGAGTTCTTTTTAAATAATTTTTTATTCTAATTTGCTATATATGACAGCAGAATGCATTACAATTCATATTACACATACAGACAAAATTTTTTCATATCTCTGGTTGTATACAAAGTATATTCACACCATTAATGTCTTCATAGATGTACTTAGGATAATGATGTCTATCTCATTCCACCGTCTTTCCTGTGCCCTCTCCCTTTCCCTCCCACCCCCTTCAGAGTTCTTTTTTTTTTTTTTTTTTTATAGACAAGTTGCACTTTCCAGCATGTGGGAAAAGCTGTTTCTCATTAGTTTACTGTGAAAAGTACTGTTAGAAAATTAATGATTTCCACTCCTACCCTTTAATGTTCAGGCAGACTTTTGAGACTGTCTCAACGTTTTGTTTAGATTGTTTACTAATTGGTGATTTATCACTTTTTAGCATTTTATGTTAAAGAAAAAGTAAGTATAGACCCAGATAGCAGAGTTACTAAACAATAGTCTTGCATTTTTTCTTAACTGTAGGAGAAAGGGAGTGAATTTTATTGTGATGACTTTAAATTATGTYATGAGACAGGAATTTGGTTCTTAAATACCTTGATTGTTCTTTTTGCTCTTGTTGAAATGAAAATGAAAGAAGTAATGAATTACTTCATTCTTGGTCTTTTCTAAAATACTTTCCTAAAATGCAAGTGGCATTACTTGTGCAGGGGGGATGTAGACTTTTTCTCCCACTTAGGTTATTAATTTCATTGGCAGAAATTAGTATAATGGAAATTCACAAATGCAGAACTTCTGAAGCCTCAAGTTTCTGCTTTGCAGGAACTGGACATTAATAACAGCCAATAAACAAGCCATATTTTTATATTGAATATATATTTTAAAATGTTTTAATAACTGGAAAAAGTAGAAGTAGCCATTGACTGTTCACTGTACCATTATTTAATAAATAAAGTCTCTCCCAAACTTACATTCCCTCATGCCCGACATTCCTGTACCTTTAATCTCATTACAGTTGAGCTGCTGACATTATTTCTCTAATGTAGACACACTCTTGGATAACTGCTGAGCTCCTGGTATAGGTCAGCAATAAAGAATGCTTATGTACCCAGACATTTTGACAAAGGCCCAAAAAGTTTTCTGTTCTTTCGATTTTTTTTAAGTGTTTTTACCTCTAGCTCAGTATTCATAACTTGTTTCCCTCTAACTACCTTGTCTTTTCCCTTTATCTTTTAAATGTATTAAAACATTTAATATGATTTGGAGTACTGGGGATGGAGAATAACTTTTTTCTCAAACTTCCAAGTCACTTTGAACATGTCATAACTGATAACATGAAGAAGAAAAAAGCTAAATAATATTTTTTTTTCTTAATGTGTTTTTATGATGGTCTTTTTAGAGAGGGAGAGGATATTAAAGAATATAACAATAATTTCAAGAGCATGAAACAAAAATATTCAGAAAAGCTCAAGTAAAGTTAGATAAGAAAGTGATTCAAGAGAGAGGAAAAAAGAAAACATTGAGAAGAAAGGTAGGGAAATATATTAGTTTGTCTATCATTTCAATAAAAATTTTAATTTTACCCTTAGATGCTTCTTTCTTATGTAGTAGTATCTAGAGAAAGGATTTAAAAAAATCTTTCTAGGGTTGTTTCTTATTAAGAATGGACTCTTGGACTGGGATTGTGGCTCACTAGTAGAGCGCTTACATACCTTGTATAAGAGACTGGGTTTGATCCTCAGAACTGCATAAAAATAAAATAAAGGTATATTTAAAATGCAATAACAACAACAAAAAGAATTGATTCTCTTTGATTCAGTTGGCTCTGAATGTCTGTTTGCCAATATATCCCTACTCATTTGATATTTCTTTTTCAAATGAGATTGATGCCTACTTTTGGAAATTTTTATTTATTTATTTTTAAGTTTTCTGTCCTACAAATAAAGAGTAAACACTTGAAAGTATCTTTTCATCTATTTCAAACACTTGCATAATAAAAGAGGAGAACCTGAGTTACAGATAGATAAATGCCTGCCTCGAAGATGTTTGTTTCTCCCTCTTTCCAGGTATTTCATGTATTCTAGGTATAGTAATATACCATATTTGAGCATTTCACTCCTTTTTGGTCACTTACAAAACATTTATTAGCATTTCATATATAGGTATGGATTCTAAGGAGAACCTTAAATAATAGGGACTTACTATAGGATATGTAGAAATTGAAGAAGCACAGAGGATTGGCTCAGCAGCCAAATAGTCCCTCTGTGCTTACACTGTATACACTGGAAGGTACACAAGTCCTCATGGAGAATTGAAATAATAACTTGTTGTAACTCCTTATTCAACATCAGGCCCAGCGATTCTACTTTAGTCTTTTTCACACGTTGCTGATTCAAACTTTAAAAAGTGGTCACCGTCTCATATGAAGGAATACTATGGCAGTCTTGGCTCATGCTTCATGTTCCATTCATTTGTGACCAGGAAATAGGGTTGGTTTCGTTAAAGATGTTCTCTTGCTTTGTAAGCTAGCAACTTTAAGCAGAAGGAAGAGCCTGGGGCCACTCTTCTGGGCTGCTGTGGTGGGTCCTTATACTTCATGAACTTTATTATACCACACAACCTATATTAGTACTATTTTTAAAATTCTTTCTTCTGTTGGTTCCTAATTCATCTAAAAGGCTCATCTTCTTATCTATTTTTTAAGCCTCTTAAAGATGGGAAGTGTCATGCTTCTTTTTTGTGGCAGGGGGCGGATACCAGGGATTGAACTCAGAGGCACTTGACCACTGACCAACATCCCCAGCCCTATTTTGTATTTTATTTAGAGACAGGTCTCACTGAGTTGCTTAGTGCCTCACTTTTTGCTGAGGCTGGTTTTGAGCTCAAGATCCTCCTGTCTCAGCCTCCCGAGCTGCTGGGATTATATGTGTGTGCCACTGTGCCAGGCATGTCATATGCTTCTTTATTAGCACCCTTACACTCAGCACAATTCTTGCCACTCAGAATTGTTTTAAGCAAATTTCGAGGAGAGAAGTCACAGTGATGAAAATTCATTGATTTTCATGATCATTTAAAAGCTGTTTTCCCATTGTTTTGTTTAAAAAAATTTGAATCTATTTTGCTGATTCAAGTAACATAAGCAGTGCAAAATCCCACAGAAAGTTTAGTTAGTGATGACTTCTCCTTTGTTCAATTATGGTTTCACTAGTCAGGGATGAATCAGCTTTTTTTCTTTTCTTAATCTTGAGAACTAAAGAAATCACTTAAGTGAAATGTTTGACAGCCTTCTACATCAATAGGTAGAACTTGGAGGTACATTCTTATTTTTAAATATTTGATGGGAGCAATTTGAAAGGGATTGTTGTTAGACCTCACTGCTTTTTTTTGGTGGGTGGTGTTTAGTATCTGTATAAATTCAAGCCACATGAGTC